TAGACCGATCCCTAGATAATACAACAATATGTAGAACCATTTTAACAAATCAAATTAAAAGATCAACAAGAGCAATTCGACATAAATATACTAACCTGCAACAAGATCTGGTGAACGAACGATGGAATCGTGATATATATAGGCAGGAGCGGGATCAGGCATTGTAGCAATTAGAAAATAAACAGGCATTTAATGAATATTGGCGAGACCGAATATATGATAAATATATAAAATGGAAGAATAAAACTAAGGATGAGCGTATACAAATACAAAACTATCGAAATGAAAGAGCTCTTGATAAATTTTGGTGAGATCGACTATATGATCGGTATAAAAAATGGAAGAATAAGACTAAAAATGAATGCCAAATAATTTTGAATCAAAATCAGAATATTTTAAATTTACAGCAACAAAATTTTGTATTAGTAAATAATCAGCAAAATCAACTGATGGCATTATCTGTAGGATTTGTACAACTAGAATTTTATAGCGGTAATGAAGATCATGAAGATTTCGTAGATAGGTTCATATTATATATTACCTTGGCTGGAGTAAATAATGATGCAAATATTCTCACTATATTAGATCAATCCTTAAAAGGAGAAGCGAGAGAATGGTATTATAGAGAATTTGACAATAAAAATTGGGAGTTAGAAAATATACTTGATAACTCTGGTATAGGTGCAACAATAGCACATATTCGTGGTGCTAATGCAGAAGGTATAACGGGTGCAGTCGCTTCTTTTCCAAATGTTCTACTTGGATTTACAGGTGCACAAATTATCCCTGCTCGAAATGTTGCTGAAGATTGGACAATAGCGGGAGGATGCCCAACTAATGCAGTACCAGTTGTACTAAATGCTGGAGGAGGTGTTCCTATTATTCTAGCAAGAATGCGATCTGGACAAAGGCTTTGGTGGATAAAAAAATATTATCCAACTACTAATAAATATGTAAAGATGTTAGAAATTGGAGTATTAAGACAAGGCGTATATGAGAGTATATCTTTATTCTTGGCAAAAATTCAGAAATATGGCGATCAACTCGGTTATACTCCAGCACAGAAGAAAACCCATTTCTTATCTAGAGTTAGACCTGATATTAGAAATGAAATTTATAGAATTGGTCAAACAAAACCCATTAACGATATTATTGATAGTTTGGCAGAACTTGAATTACGTCATGGAATATTACAACAGGCACCATCTCAACCTCGCCATGCACCTATTGCTCCTACTATTCCAGATGTTATATCTCAACAACCGGTATTCCCCATGGCTGATATGCAAAAAATGATTCAAGATGCATTTGCAAAACAGCAAGCTGAATCTAAAGCTAAGATAGAAAAATTAAAGGCTAAACTTCAAGCACAACAACCACAAGTTGCAACAGTAGGAAATTTTCAACCCCCACCCAAGTTTTACCCTATAAAATCAGAAAACCTTGGCAAGCATTTTATATAGTAGATCAAGAAGGTAATAATATGGATCTACTTACCCATCTGGATTACCTTAACAAGCAAAAGCTTTATTTAAAAAACCACAAAGATCCAACCAATCTGTCAGAATGGATAGAATAGAAGAAAAGCTTAATGAAACTCGAGATACTATAAATCAGTTAGCAGACCAATTACAGAAAAAAGTGTATATAAAGAAATGTGGAATTTGTGGAGAAACAGGCCATAGCAAGGGCAAATACCCCAATCAACCTACAGTCCAATCTAATTATACTTGATCATATTTTACATCTCTCAAGCCAATATATCCCCAATACACACCTCCTAATTCAGATAGCGAGGAGGATGAAGGTGGATATAATGAGGAAGATAATCAATGGCATGCCCCTCCATCCTATTTAGAAAAAAAAAATAGATATCACCAACAATAAGTAAGACATCACAGAATAAATCAGTAATTTCATGCAAATTTTTAGTTACAGAATCTAAACAAAATGAAAAAGTCACTATGCCAAACCTTTTTTCAGAATCGGATAACCAGTTATTAGAATTATTATCTCCAGCAATGCGAAAAAAAATTATTGACCCATCTACAAAAAATAAATGGGCCGAATCACTTGAATATATGCAGTGTAGAATTGAAGATATAATTATTCCGGATGGGTTTGCCGATATAGCATCAGGATGTCTTGTTATAAATAAAGCACTAAATAAGGCATTAGGATGAAATCTTGAGATGACACCAAATTTTTCCCTTAGACATAATTCTGATCATATAACGAAATTAGAAGAAGGACATAAGGATGTACCAATATCTATAAAATATAAAAATAAATAGGTTACTGAAACAGGACATGTTGTTGTTATTGATGATGGAAAACCCGATTACCTTCTTTGTTTAGGAACGCCATAGATTCGAAAAAGTTCAAGGAATTCTAGATACAAACAAACATAAATTTTGAATGATAGTTCGTGGAAAATCTTATATTATTCCAACCTTTACTAAGCCAATCAAGAATAATATTTTATCAAGCCTTTATACAACAGTGATTCAAGATAATAATTCAAAAAATCAAACTTTCGATTCTTCTACCAAGATCGATACTAAAGAGAAGCCAGCATCTAATGAGGAAAAAGAGTCCCAAGTCTCTGATTTATTCACTGAAGATCTAAAAAAAAAAATATAATAGATTCTGACAAACAAATCGATTTCTTTCTCAAACTAGAATTCCATTCCAAGATTCAAATCATATCAGGTATGAAAAATCTAGAAAATAAAGCAACTATTAAAAAAGAATTTATTAGAGCTCTTGATTATACAGAATATCTTGAAAAGAAATTGATACGATTTCAAGATTCAGCTTGAAGCTGTTTTTTATATTCTCGTAAATTTTCCATTCTAGCTTGCACATCACTCTCTGGTATTGATGAGATAGAATGATTTATAGTTTTTGATTCTGATTTTCTGCTAGTCTTTTTTGTCACTGGTTTGCTCAAAGAAATTACTTGCTCAGGATTTCTGGCACTTGATAAGCTATGTATGGGCAAGATTTCTGGTTGAGGTATTGAGATAGATGAATTCATAGATGTTATTTCTATTTCAGGTAGTTGAGGATATATCCGGCTATTTACAATATCATCATATCTTTCACTACCAATTTTATAATTAGCACATATAATACGTTTTCTATTTGGTATCTGTTTTGTATGAGCATCTCTTATTTTTTCGATTGCTTCAGGAGTTAATGGAGTAGCAGTGAGTTAAGATATTGTCAAACTCAAGATCTAACTTTGGTTTTAACCATTTTAGAAAAATATATATTGATATTAAAAAAATATCCGATTTAAATCTAGAAAAATATCTATTCATTTCTAGTATGTAATTGGATAAAAACTGAGTAATAATCGGGCAATAATCAGACACAAATCAGA